ATTACGTAGCTAACTGTTGCATTTGCAAGTCGACTAAAAGTCCTAATCAAATATTAAGACCACCCATGGGGGAATCCAACAACTTCCCAAAGACCGTTTCAGAAACTTTATATGGATCTCTTAGGACCATATCCGCGATCCAAGAGCGGTAACATAGGTCTGCTTGTTATCGTCGATATAACTTCACGAAGTTTCACTTCTTGCACCCATTACGAAAGTTTACTTCTGATAGAATTTGCGACTTTTTGGTGAAATACGTCTTCTGTACATTCGGAGTTCCGGAATCCATACTAACGGACAACGGATCACAGTTTAAATCTGGATATTTTAAGGCTTTCCTAACGCGATTCGGCGTAGCACATGTGTGTACAGCCATTTACTCTCCCGAAGCCAACGCGAGCGAGCGAGTAAATAGATCCGTACTGGCCGCCATAAGAGCTTATATCGGGACTGATCATACCGATTGGGATAGGAATATAGACAAAATTAGCGCATCTTTAAGAGCGAACAATCATCGTAGCACCGGATTTTCACCTTATTATTTGTGTTTTGGTCAAAATATGATCATGAACGGAAAGGACTATGAATTACTAAGAAACATTAAGTCGTTACAGGATGATACCTTGTTGAAAACGCCTGATGTCATGCAGCTAGCACGTAGTCAAGCACAGAAGAAAATTAAGGAAAAGCATGAAAACAATGCAAATGAATAATAATTACGGAATCATTTGCGACAGTGATTTATTAAAACTTAGTGCCAATCATTACATTTGGAGCATTTTTATTAATTCCCAATTAATTTCAAAATGGCTGAAAGAGATTCGGCTGCAAAGCCAAATGCAAAACTTTTGATGGCTATGCAGAAACACGATATGGTTCTGAGTGACATCGAGCGAATGAAAAAGGCATTTGAGGAAAGAACTATTTCATTCGACAAAATTCAAATGGAATATCGAATGCAACTTCTCGAATCGTACTGTAAAAAACTAATGGATATCCAGGCAGACATTGATATACTATACTCAGAAAATGATCTGAGAGCGTCGGTTGAGGATGCATGTATCATTACAAAGGCATTGTATCGCTCCGCAATGATAGAAGTTGAACCTCAGAGAATCAGTCAAGGGGATTTCAGTGGTTATCGTCATTCATCGCAATTACCAAAAATGAATCTGCCGAAGTTTAGTGGAAAACATTCGGACTACAAAAATTTTATAAGTCTATTCGAGAGTTTAGTTCATAACGATCCATCCCTTACAAAGGTAGAAAAGTTCAACCATTTGCTTACATGTCTAACAGGTGATGCATTAGGAACTGTAAAGGCGTTTCAAATTTCCGAGTTAAATTATGAGAAAGCATTGGCTAGCTTGAAAAACGTGTACGACAATAAATGTTTGATTTTCTTCGACACGATTTCTCAGTTGTTTGACCTTCCCCAGGTATCGAAACCCTCTGCATCAGGCTTGAGGTCTCTTGTTGATGAGATATCGGCTCTGTATGCATCATTGCAGTCGTTGGGTAGTGAACAGGAGATCAATAATGCAATTTTTATTCACATAGCTATGTCCAAGGTAGATCACACAACAAAATCCCGATTTGAGGAGCAGCTAGATTACAATAAGTTGCCGACATGGTCTGATTGTGCGTTTCAGTTGAATCGGCGATACCAGCATTTAGCTGCTGAGGAATCAACGAAAAGTAAAGGGAAGCCTAGCCAAGGTTCGAATAAGGGATACTCAAAATCGTCATTCTCATGCACAAAAGCAGATCACAAACCAGATTCGAAATGTCAATATTGCTCAGCGACGAATCATAATTTAGGTAGTTGCCAAGCCTTTATGGCTCTGTCCGTGATTCAGCGTTTTGATTTTACGAAACATAATCGGCTGTGCATAAATTGTTTAAATCCTGGTCATCCAGTTAAAAAATGCAAAGCAACAAAGTGTCGCGTCTGCTCTAAGCCTCATAACACACTTCTTCACAGATATGGGGTAGAGCAGCAACCTGCTTCGGGATCAGGTTCTCAAGTGCAGTCACAGTCGTTTCCTGTAGCATTTGATCATTCAAATCAAGCCCACTCATGTCATGTTGCAAGTAGCGACCAAGTGATTCTTGCCACTGCCGTCGTTAAGGTGCGGGATAGATTCGGACAGTTTCAATTAGCACGAGCTCTTTTAGATTCCGGGTCGCAAATAAACTTTATGGCCGAAGATTTGGCACAACGTTTACGGCTACATAGGGAGGAGTCTTATTTGAATATTACTACTGTCGGGAAGAACGATTCGGTAGTGCGGCACAAGGTGCACACGTCAATTCACTCTCGCGTCAATGATCATAGTTTCGCAACCGATTTTTGGGTGTTAAGGTCAATTTCATCATATCAACCTGACTATGAGGTCAATTATGCCCAATGGAAAATTCCAGCAAACATTGAATTGGCAGACCCTCGTTTTCACAAGCCCGCAAAAGTGGACTTGCTTATTGGCGCAGAATCCTTTTTTGAACTTCTAAGCGTAGGCCAAATAAAATTGGGTTCCGACCATCCTTCGCTTCAGAAAACATTATTAGGATGGATTGTGTCGGGAAAGTACACTCAACGCTTAGCGAGTCAAGCTCAAGTAGGCAGCGTCACTGTCAGTGAAAATATAAGTTCTCTCGACTCTCTGGTGGAACGATTTTGGGAGTTGGAACAAGTCCCTGAGAGATCGAAGGCTGTTTACACAGCTGAACAAGTTGCTTGTGAGAAGCATTTCGAGCACACAGTAAAAAGACTTTCTTCAGGTCGTTTTGAGGTGAAGCTGCCATTCAAGACAAATCCAAGTGTTCTAGGCTTATCCTTCGAAACGGCAAGACGCAGATTTCTTTCGTTGGAGCGCAGACTTGCGAATAACTGCGAGTTGCAAGACATGTATCACGAGTTTATGAGAGAGTATCTTAACCTTGGGCACATGTCACGGCTTCCAACGCCTCCTCCAGGACAACACTACTATATTCCACATCAATGTGTCCTGAGACCTGATAGTAGCACCACAAAGTTGCGAGTTGTTTTTGATGCGTCAAGTAAAACGTCAACCTCGATCTCATTAAATGAGACACTAATGGTGGGTGCAACTATTCAGAGGGAGCTTTACGCTATTTTGGCAAGATTTAGATTGAACAAATATGCCTTGACATCAGATATTTCAAAGATGAATAGGCAAGTAAACGTTGCCAATGAAGACCGAAATTTCCAACTCATTTTGTGGAGGGAAAAATCTACTCAAGCTCTCCAAACCTTTCGCCTAAACACTGTCACTTATGGGACAGCCTCAGCTCCATTCTTAGCCATTCGTTGTCTCTTTGAGCTATCAAAAATTTACGCTAAATCACATCCGGTGGCAGCGGAAGTAATTTCGAGCGACTTTTACGTCGACGATATGCTTACAGAAGCGAACAGTTTGGACGAATTGGAAGTGATTCGCAAGGAAGTCACTGAGGTTTTGGAGTTAGGGGGTTTCCATCTAGCCAAATGGGCAGCAAATCATCCAAGTTTGATGACTAACCAGGGACCAGAAAAATCTCTTATATTTAACACCTCTGAGTCCGTTAAGACGCTTGGAATGAGGTGGAACCCTCAGAATGATGCATTTCATTATAGTTTGGAGGATTCGTTTCAATCCTTACCTCCCACGAAACGCAACATTTTGTCCGTCACAGCTCGTTTATTTGACCCCTTGGGGCTATTGTGTCCGTTGATCACAAGAGCAAAAATCTTGCTTCAGGAGCTTTGGCGACAAAAACTAGATTGGGATGAATCAGTTCCCATGAAATTGCATACAAGCTGGAACGAATTTAAGCAGAATTTATCAGAGATTGACAAGATATCCATTCCTCGATATATCTGTCTGTCAGCCTATGACGCTGTTCAAATCCACGGATTTGCTGACGCATCGAGCCACGCCTACGGCTGTTGCATTTATGTTCGCACGGTGGCTGGGACAAATAGGTTATCGAGACTGCTAACCGCTAAGTCACGAGTGTCCCCGCTAAAAACCAAATCAATTCCAAGGCTCGAATTATGTGCAGCGCATTTGCTGGCTAAGCTATGGACTCAAGTATCTCCTTTGCTACACAAGATAGAGTTGGAGAGCGTTAATTTTTGGTCGGACTCCCAAGTCACTCTATACTGGTTAAAGAGGGATCCGTCTACTTTAGCAACATTTGTCGCGAATAGAGTTGCTGAAATCCAGGAACTCTCAGAGAATATAGTCTGGCGTCATGTGCCTACAGAAGAGAATCCGGCTGACTTAGTGTCACGTGGAACAGATATAGAGGGTTTGAAGCGTACTCTATGGGAAAATGGACCTGAATTCTTACTGCGAAATCCAGACGAGTGGCCTAGTTCTCATCGGGTTGAGGTATCACAGGAGTTACAGTTGTCCGAGAATAAAAAAAGCGTAGCAGTATGTTCCGTCACAAAAAACCAACCGAATGTCTTTATTGAACTTGTTGGACGATGTTCGTCATTTCATAAATTAATGCGGATCATGGCATACGTAAATCGATTTATTCAAGGGAAGAAGCGTCAACGCGATGTTGTTATTTCGGCCAACGAACTGAAGCTGTCGTTTCTTAGGATGGTCCAAGTCTTGCAAAGAGTTGAATTTGAGTCAGAATATGTCAAGATAGAGAAATCTGAAAGTTTGAGTCCACATCTACAACGTCTAAATCCTTTCATACACTCCAGCGAAATAGATGGTGTGAAGTTTCAACTAATTCGGGTTGGGGGAAGATTATTAAACGCGCCAATTCCGTATGATGCCAAATTTCCGTTGTTACTGCCATCGAAGTCAGAATTTGTTTCGTTGTATCTTCGCAACTTACATCGGACTCATTACCATGCTGGTGTCAAGGTTTTGGTATCGCTCTTGAGACAGCAGATATGGCTCATCAATGCTCGAGGAGCATGCAATAAAATTGTCCTTAGCTGCGTACACTGTTTTAGGTACAAAACAGTGCTAATGGACCAGATAATGGGTAATTTACCCGCCACGAATTTCGTAGGAGCGAGCAACGTGCTGCAGGAGCTGAACGCAGCGTTTCACCACAGCGAGGATCAGCTGAGAGGGTACGCGGCTCAGAGAGGCGTCGAGTGGTATTTCATACCGCCGAGGTCACCACACTTCGGAGGACTGTGGGAGGCAGCCGTCAAGTTCGCCAAACATCGATTGCTGAGAGGGGTCGGCAACGCCAAGCTAACGGCCGACGAGTTGAGCACCCACCTGGTCGAGGTAGAGGCGCTGCTCAATTCTCGACCAATCGCATCGCCTGGCAACGATCCCAACGATGGAGAGGCGCTGACACCAGGACACCTGCTGATCGGTCAGGCTCTTCTTTCGCTGCCGCAAGAGTCCGACACAGGCGTAACCTCCAGCAAGGGCGGATGCGAGTACTTGAGGCGGTGGCGAATGCTGTCCGCTCTCAAGCAGCAGTTTTGGGACGGTTGGTCCAAGGACTACCTCGTCAGCCTGCAGCAGCGCAATAGGTGGAGCACCGGATGCAGCGATTTGGAGGTCGGACGCTTGGTGCTCGTACACGAGGACAACTCGCCCCCACAACGGTGGCTCACAGGGCGCGTGGTGGCAACAACAGTCGGCGCGGACGGTAAAGTGCGTGTAGCACACATCCAGACGTCAGGAGGCGTCATCAAGCGCGCCATCCAGAAGTTGGCATTGCTGCCGATAAACATCGCTCCTAACGAGGAGGTTAAAGCGCCGGAGGCCTTCAACGGGGCCGAAATGTTGGAGCACTAGATTAGCGATTGATATTATTGTTAAAATGAATTTACATGAAGAAAAAAATAGAACTACAACGTAACCAATGTGAAACAAAAAGCTTATCGCTTGCACTCAGCCGAGCTGAATAGCCGAAACGTATAGCTTTCATAGCGAGGCAATTCGGACGCTGCTTGTGTAAAGGTAGTAGCCGATTAACCTTTGGAACTGCTGGCTGCGCCAGCGCAATAAAACTTTTTCGTGCGACTGCAGTTCTTCTCATCTTCTTTTCTTTGCCTTCGAGTGGAAATTCCCCAGCTAGGCCGCTAGTTGCTAGTCGCCTTTTTTTATTCGAATTTTTTGTCCGGAAAACCCTCACGGATTTACAACAATGCTAATACATTTGCATATTCGATTGTAAATTTGTAAACAAAAAGTTCACAACTCCGCTTATAGTGCATGTATCCACGGCAGAATTTGTACTGTGGTGGCCAGTCGCAAACCGAAAATAAAATATATAAGAAATAAAGAAATTAATTTGTAAACATTGCGAAAATGCAAATCACATTTGAATTCGCATATGCTCACAAGCAAAACGTAGAGTACAGCGGAGAGCGTCGATAGAAGCTTATCTGGCCTGCTCTCGCATACAGCCTACCTGCATAGCGCTAACCCTTTCCCGTGTGCACCGAATGCGTGTGAAGACGGAAAAGGAGAAGAGCGACTGGAAGCACTCCGTTAGGTGAAGTTTGGCAACGCTGCAATTGCGTACAGCTAACTTCTCGAGTCAGAGTTCTCGCTCATTTCATTTTTGGCACTGATAACGTTCGCATGCAAACCGCTGCTGATCGTAGTAATAATAGTGGAAAATTTTCAACCGCGTGGCCGAAAATTGTAAAGTGTTTTCTGGCAAGGAAAAGGAGTTCACCAGTGCAGAAGGAGTTTCGGAGAAACGAACCAAGCGCAAGGGGTAAATATTTCCGTGAAAAGTGCAAATGAAAAGGCAGTGTTTAAGTGCATATTTTTGTGTAGGAAAGAGACGGAAGATACGTCGGCCGGCAACTTCAGCGCCAGAGCGGCAGCATTACGCCAGTTCTCGGGTGTTGGTCACCGGCTGGTGGACCGTTTTGGAGGCTGCTGGCCAAGATCAGTGCGACAACCGCCGTATTCTTTTGGACGTGCCGCGTGTAGATTGCCACGTTTTGAGGTTGGAATCGACCTGCGCGTGAGCACGCCCAACATAAATCGGACTTAACCACAATTTTGAGAGACACTTCGGCCGCGACAACCGTGTGCCACATGGAGGTTCGGATTTAACCTTAATCCGACCTGCCGTTCCCAATCAGCCAATCCATCCCAGGCGTGGTGTCGGAGTACCCATGCGGGTTAAGCTACCCTAAGGAACGCGAGGAGGAGGAGAAGGAGCTACGAGCTCCTGCAGAAGTAACGACGATCGGTTGACCGCTGGTTTTGCTGCCGTAATTAAGAGGAAGAGACGAATGTGAGGCGACGCTAGCCTACTCTTTACGCGCACGTGCCACGTGCGGCACCATATCCCAGAGCGGGATGAAATAGGGAGAACAGACCTTTCGTCTGGCATGCGAAGACGCCAAACCCTTCGTATGCGGTGAATCGAACAGGAGACCTGGAGGAGAATGCCGCAAGGAGGCATCGCCATGTGCAGAGCTGCAGCCAATCAACGTTGACGTGTGCTGAAGATCATTTTCGTTGTTTAGGGATTTAAAGCCAATGTGCTGAATTTGTAGATTTAATTCTTTGATAATTGCGTAGACAATATACTGTTTGTATTCAAGTAATGTAAATTTAGGGTCGTTTGAGCAACACAAAAATAATATTTGTCAGAGGTTAACAACATTTCTTGATTAAATCTAGCACAGCGTCTTCGATGGGCCCACCGAACCTGCTTCAACCGGATTTGTGAGTAAGTGAGATCTCTCCTTATAAAAACATATTGATTTCTGACTTTACAAATATATTCTATTTTTGTGGATGCATTTTTATAACGATACGCCATATAATTAGTCGAATGACATTTAAATATTTTTACGATTCGATTAAAGTAAGTTTTAGTAGCATTATGGTTAGGAGTTAAATACATCGTAAGCAACAATAAGAATTTAGGAGCGAATAAGAATTTGTAGACGATAAGATGATGCGATTTGAAAACCTTTTGTTATTGTTTTGGGCATTTGGCCAATATGATCGAATTTATGCGATTCTTTGTTTTGATTGATTGATCCTTTTTCCAATATGTTGGAGTAATTTAAATTAGTTTTCGTGGATCGATCTTGATGCTGCCGCAATGTGAATTAGAATTATAATATAAGAATAAACTTTGATTAAGGGATAACCGCAAACATAATCTCTCGAGTTATCATGGCAGGGAGGGTACAGAAAGGGATGGCGAATAACAGCTAGCCACCCCTACTCCTGGTGTTCTCTTGATTAGCTTACTGGTCCGTCCGCGTATACCAGAATCCGAATATATCCTTTGTTGTTTTGAACTGTAGATTACAGTTAGTGCACTTAAAACTTTTCTTTTGCGTAGTGCAGTGTGTATATAGGGAAGATGAGGAAAACCCACGACAATCCGACGAGCTTAGCAAAGAGCAATGCTAGAAGTGCACGAAACCGAATCTCCTTATACACTAGGTTACCCTTAACCCGGTGAACACAGGCCAGGGAGCCCTGACGGGCAACCGACGATCCTAGTCTGGCTGACATAGAAAGACAAGGGAGAACCGACTAGCTGGCTGGCTACTAAATAGAAAGAAAATGGCGCCCAACATGGGGCTAAATAGCTGTAGGAGTACTACATAAGAAGAAAATGCCACACCAGCGTGTGGGGCCGATAGCCGCATAGAAGAAAATACCACATCAACGTGTGGGGCTAGATATATGTTTGAGTTCTACATAAAGAAAATGCCACAACCAATTTGAGGCAGGCAACAGTGATACCTCTAGACAGCGAAACCGACTAGAGATTGCCAGATTTCTAAGTGCAGGAAACTAGAATGAAACTCAGCTCCACGATTTTGCTCTAGTAGTTACCAATAATTGTATTAGTGTCTGCTGAAGTTTAGTTTCAGGTCTTTATTATTTATTATGTAATGATCACTAAGAATTCGAGGCAGGAATCGCGATCTTGATTCGAGTAATCTACGGATTAGGTCGACCACTCAGTTTGAAGTATTCATGTAATCTCGGAAGGATTGAAAGTAACAATAAGTAGAACTTTTTTGCGGATTTGGATGAATTTGAAATAGGTCTCTAGGAATTGCGATTGTATTTCGAGTAATTTACGGAATAGTCGACCAGAACCAACAGTTCACTTGATATCTCATTTCCATGAATGTTCTTTAAACTTGCTTTTAGACTACGGGAGTTTGTTCAATGGAATTGCAAAGTATTGGAGGTACTTCGATCTTTGACCGGTTCAGATAAAGTAACTCGAGAAGCAAGCATTCAAACTATATATTTTTTTTTATTAATTTTGCTTTGAAATTCAACTTTTTGTAAGCTATCAAGAAACATAAGGAGTTTAATTCACATAGCGAGCATGCAGTCATTATAAGATCAATCACGAAACTATTGAATTTATTTTTATATAACCAAAATATTTAGCGATATGTCAGTACGTCACAGCAACGTCGATTTATCTGCCGCAGCAGGCGGCGAAAGTACATCTTGTACAATTTGTACGCAACCATTGAGCGCAAGCGATTTAACAGCAACTACTCCTTGCGGTCATACCTTCCACCATCAGTGTATAAGGGATCATATGATTGATTCCAATGGATGTCCAATGTGCAATCGAGAATGCACAGCACGACAATTGTCCTTGTCGAACAACAATCTTTTAGCGGAATTGTCAGCTGCTGATCGAGGATTAGGAGGTACTAATACTGTCAACAACGATTTACCGGCTTGCAGCGTGTCGATTGAGCATACGAACAGAGGTAGAGCAGGCGGAAGAAGAGGCAGGAATACAGGTCAACGCCGAGGCGGCGGACAACGAACAGGAATGACGCTGAGGTCAGGTCGCAATAATCCAGCGAACCACCTCGAGCAAAGTCTTGACACAGATTCTGTAAGAGATATTTCTAGGGCAGACAATTTAGAGGACATAGAGAGATTAGTACAGACAGCCATGCAGGCACAGCAACAAGCCATTAGGCAAGAACTTTCAGAGTTTATACGAGCGCAAGTAGCGATTGGTGGTTCTGCTCAAACTCCGAATAGGGGAATGAACGATAGACGAGATCAACCAAGGGAAGCTCATTCAGCAGAAACGGTTTACCATGATATTCATCTAAACACTCAGCGCGTCGATAGATCGGGTTCTACAGTTCAGCCAGAAAAGGTGCCGAGCATCATTCAGAGTTGGCACATCAAGTTTGATGGATTAAAGGACGGGTTACAGACAGAAGAGTTCCTTTATCGCATACAGGCATTAGCACAGCAAAATTTAAATGGGAATCGTCAGCTTCTATGTGACCATCTCCATTTATTTTTCGTTGGCAAAGCTAGCGAATGGTACTGGAAATTCCACCGTTCGTTTCCTCAGTTTAACTGGATACTATTTTGCAGAGAATTTCGGAATAAGTTCAAGGAGAGTGACCCGGACATGGACATTTGGGAGTTCATAAACAGTAGGCGTCAAGCTGAAAAGGAACCTTTTGAAGACTACCAATTCCAAGTAGAGAAACTTGTGTCTCGCTTGAGCACTCCGATCTCAGAAGAATCGTTAGTGAGGCTTCTTATTCGACAAGCGAAACCTTCACTACGATATAAACTTATGCATTTGCGTATAGACACGTTAGCTCATCTCAGGGAGGAAGTCCGTACGCACGAACAATTTTGTAGGCAAATGAAAGCTCAATCAGTCAGAGGTGGCAAGATTTTGGCAAGATTTAGATTGAACAAATATGCCTTGACATCAGATATTTCAAAGATGAATAGGCAAGTAAATGTTGCCAATGAAGACCGAAATTTCCAACTCATTTTGTGGAGGGAAA